ACGAATTCTGCACATGGAGGTTCACAAAGTGCTGCGCCTGCCACGAAATCCGCGCTTCAAGAAACAAGAAAACTCTAATCACAATGGAGGGACGATCTGAGAATGATCCGAGCATGACCCGAGCATGACCCGAGACCGTCTCGCACACGTCGTTCCGCAAAGCTTGACTTGCCAGCTTCGGAGCCACCCTTTCTATTGAAAAACACAGCATTTCGTGCGTCCGCTATCTCTCGAAAAGGCAATTTTGCATTGCGCCTGCCACGAAATCTGCAAATGGAGGTTCACAAAGTGCTGTGCGTGCCACGAAGTCTGCACCCCAAGGTTCACAAAGTGCTGCACCTGCCACGAATTCTGCACATGGAGGTTCAAAGTGCTGCGCCTGCCACGTAAACTGGAGCTAAAGCTGTTGAAACTGGAGCTAACTGGAGCTAGAGCCATTGAAACTAGAGCTTACTGGAGCTAGAGCTATTGAAACTAGAGCTACCTGGAGCTAGAGCTATTGAAACTAGAGCTACCTGGAGCTAGAGCTCTTGAAACTAGAGCTAACTGGAGCTAGAGCTCTTGAAACTAGAGCTAGCTGGATGATGAGTAGTGTGCATGATAAGTGGTGTATGATGAGTGGTGTATGATGAGTGGTGTATGATGAGTGGTGTATGATAAGTGGTGTATGATCAGTGGTGTATTGAACAGCTGTTGAATGTCCGTAACACGGAAGTTTTGCACACTAAACTTCCTTTGATTAATAGCATGCACTAGCAGCGGCAGGCGCACTGGCACCAAATTGCGGCAACAAACGGTAGCCGCTAGCTGTACTAGCAGTGGTCGTGGTATAGTCGAAGAAATCCCGCCGACGTCATGGCTGTGGGCTGTGAGGATGATCAAAAACATCCAAACAAGTCAAGCCTGACGCGCAACACAAGGTTGAAGTATGTCGAGGCGCTGTAGTTCAAATACTTGCGGAACAGACTGCTTTGTAGGAATAAGCGCAGGTGCCCTGCCAGGTCCATCTTTGTCTTAATAAGCGCAGCCAGGTGGACGACAAACATAGGGGCCACCAATGCCCCCCCGATGATCATCGCAGTATCGCTGCGGTTGGAAACTATAAGTCTCTCCTGACACTTCACGAGCCAAACCCCACGCAACATTCTCTGTCTGTTTGAAAGGTTCCAAGCTAAGAATGCACGGTTCTCTGTTCTGGGATCCTGCTTGTTGAAAAGGACATCCACCAGGTAGATATTCAGAACAAGAACCAAAAAACGATAGGCATTCCTGAGTTGAAGGCTTCAGGTAGGTTTGAACCAGTCCATCGGCCACACTTTGCAACATGCTGCAAAGGTGCCGGATCTGGTCGAGAATAAGGGTGAGTAAAGTACGCCAACGAACCCCTGGCACTTCAAAGAAACAAAGTTTCCAGTATTGCCAGAATAGAAATGCAGAACCTTGGAGGGCCGTGCTGAATCTATATGATCTATACGAAGTCTATATGATTCTATATGCATGAACTAACTTACCACATCAATGCACGACAACCAGCTCGCACCACACCATGCTTTTCCAAATGTTCCGCTGCCATGGCACGAATCTGTCGCACTCCTTCCTCACCTTGCCTAACCACAAGGGAACGGCGCTTGATTGTTCCGAAGAGTTCTCGAAAGCTTTGATGTCTTAAGATTGGAAGGCAAGCCACATCAATAAGCTCTTGTACTTGCTTGAAGGGAAAGTATCGGAATCGATGACTTTGACCCGGCAGGAGTGAAGATAATTGCCTTAACGCAAACTCCAATGGCAAACCCAACGCAGCTCTGAGGTCGGTGTTCTAGGTGCGCTGAGTCACCCAAACTGCAATTTTCTGGATCACAAAGCCGGACTTTAAATTCGAGCGTTGGAGCCCAATACGGGCTTGCAATGACTTGAATCTGAATAGACTGCCGGAACCTTGGGCGCAACGCATATCGGAAGCAAAATGCATTACAAAAAAAGGAAGTTATTACTACGGTATGGGGCCTGATCAAAGGATATCAAAGGAGCCACTTCCGTTGGCCATGCGTCATTGTGCTTCCAATTGGAACAGAACAATTGCATCAACTCGCAATGTACTTAGTGTACTTCCCACGTTTGGGCTGCGGGTGGCCAACGGGGCAGCCTTTGGGCCTCAAATGAAACATTTGAAGCGCTGGGAGCTCATTTTCCTTGAAGACCACGTCTCCACGTGTTGCCTTGTATTGGCTGCCAGCCTTTGCAGAACCGTCTTCCTTGGCCAAGGCTTGGATGTGCTCTCCACGGTAAGACGTTTTTTCTGTGGCCATCCGGATGCGTCTCTTCAAAAGGGCACTTGAAAGTGTCCCACTTGCAACTGCAATGTTTCTAGACCCTGGTCAAAGTGCACACACTCAAAAGGTGCGTTGGCGCATAATTTCCTGTTTGTCAACGCTGCTACTTTTTCATTGCTCGAAAAAAGTCAACGCATGATTAATCAACCAGCCCAGAAGAGTGTCGGTGTGGTAGCTCACCTGAATGGTGTTCCTCATGGAGCCCAATCGCATGATATCGATGGTGAGGAACCCTTCGCTCTCCTCCACAAAGTAGATCCTGAGCAGCAAAGCTTCTTGTTTTTTGTTACAAGTTTGTGTAGCTGTAGCTTATTGTAGCTTTACCTTTTCTAATTTGAGTCGCCAGGTGATATCTGTACAAACTCGTGAACAGCCTAACGTCAGTCTAGTAGGAAAATGCTCTTGTTCTGCCTCTTGTTCTGTTTGACGAGAGTCGCAGCTGTGAACTGCACTATGTCCGTCGCTCTCTCTTGGACTCCAGATTCGTCTGGAGAACATGGCACAACTCCTTAGCCGGCTTCCAAGCATGCAATCAAGCAATCAACTCGAGGTTCAAGCCAACATTTAGAAATGTAGTTGTGCTCAAGTAGTAGCACAGTGAGGTTGATTGACCATGTCAAAACTGCGAACATCTGACCAGCTTTTTCACCCTTTCCATCCAGTTAAAGGAGGTTGGGGCAACGATCCGTACCCAGCCTTACTCTCCATGAACATGAATATGGAAACCTGAAAATAGCCTTCAAAACCTCTTTCTCTGCAAGCCTATTGTCTTGAAGCAAGTTTTTGGTTGAACAACGTTGCGTCGAGGCACGGACGAGCCTGGCATTCATAAGTCAGGTTGCTCATTGCGGCACTGTCATGGCTTGGAGCTGCGAGGTGTCTCGGGTGGTCAAAATACAAGTAGTAAGGCTCAAGCACCGAAAAATACCTTCTTGGCTAGGCATCAGGCATAGCCTTCAACAATGTCTAAGCGTCCAACATTATAGCCTTTGACAATTCACGGGAACTTCTTACAAAGTGCTGAGATGCTACAGGCTGAATATGAGCTGGGAGAATGCGACAGGCTTGCTCGTCTGAATGCAACAAGGGCAATCAGCTTTCTATGGGTGCGCACCTCGCAGGCAAGCCACGTTGAGAAAGGCAGCACAGCGTTGCAACATGCTAGTCAAGCCATGTGCAATTCGACGGACAAGAATATGCAGTCGGACGGCGGGACATAATGCTTTGACCTACTTAACAGCGGTCAGTGAGGTGGGTGGGTAGGTGGGTGGGTGGGCGGGTGGGTGGTGTAATGTGGTCTTGTTCCCCACATCTCTGTGTGGGGTTCTAGTTTTGTTGGCTGCCAT